CCGCGCCTAGGCTCTGTCTCTGCAGCCGGCTTCCCCACTCCAATACCTGGGAGCTCTGCTGCACTCAGGCACCCCCGGTCTTTCTGTGACCCCAAGGGTCCTGGATGAAAGACCTAAATGTGAGACAGGAATCAATCAAAATCCTAGAGGAGATCACAGGCAGCAACCTCTTTGACCTCAGGTGCAGCAACTTCTTCCTAGAAACATCGCAAAAAGCAAGGGAAGCAAGGGCAAAAATCAACTATTAGGACTTCATCAAGATAAAAAGCTTTTGCACAGCAAGGGAAACAGTCAACAAAACCAAAAGACAACCGACAGAATGGGAGAAGATATTTGCAAATGACAGATAAAGGGCTAGTATCCAAAATCTATAAAGAACTTATCAAACTCAACACCCAAAGAATAAATGATCCAGTGAAGAAATGGGCAGAAGACATGAATAGACATTTCTGCAAACAAGACATCCAAATGGCCAACAGGCATATGAAAAAGTGCTCAACATCACTCAGCATCAGGGAAATACAAATCAAAACCTCGATGAGGTACCACCTCACACCAGTCAGCATGACTAAAACTTCAAAAAGTCAGAACTGGGTGTTATACGCAAACAATGAATCATGGAACACTACATCAAAAACTAATGATGTAATGTATGGTGATTAACATAACATAACAAAAAAAAGTCAGGAAACAACAGATGTTGGCGAGGATGCAGAGAAAGGGGGATCCTCCTACACTGTTGGTGGGAATGCAAGCTGGTGCAGCCACTCTGGAAAACAGTATGGAGGGTCTTCAAAAAGTTGAAAATAGAGAGGCGCCTGGGTGGCTCAGTCGTTAAGCGTCTGCCTTCGGCTCAGTTCATGATCCCAGGGTCCTGGGATCAAGTCCCGCATCGGGCTCCCTGCTCCGCGGGAAGCCTGCTTCTCCCTCTCCCACTCCCCCTGCTTGTGTTCCCTCTCTCACTGTCTCTCTCTCTGTCAAATAAATAAATAAAATCTTAAAAAAAAAAGTCGAAAATAGAGCTACCATACAACCCAGCAATTGCACTACTGGGTACTTACCCCAAAGATACAAATGTAGTGATCTGAAGGGGCACACGCACCCCAGTGTTTATAGCAGCAATGTCCGCAATAGCCAAACTATGGAAAGAGCCAAGATGTCCATCAACAGATGAATGAATAAAGAAGATGTGGTATATATATATATATATATATATATATATATATATATATACACAATGGAATATTATGCAGCCATCGAAAAATGAAATCTTGCCATTTGCAACGACATGGATGGAACTAGAAGGCATTACACTAAGCAAAATATATCAATCAGAGAAACAATTATCATATGATCTCACTGATATGAGGAATTTGAGAAACAAGGCAGAGTATCATAAGGGAAGGGAGAGGGAAATGAAACAAGACAAACCAGAGAGGGAGACAAACCATAAAGAGACTCTTAATCTCAGGAAACAAACTGAGGGTTGTTGGAGGGGAGGGGAGTGGGAGGGATGGGGTGGCTGGGTGATGAACACTGGGGAGGGTACATGCTATGGTGAGTGCTGTGAATTGTGTAAGACTGATGAATCGCAGACCTGTACCCCTGAAACAAATAATACACTATATGTTAATAAAAAGAAAAAAAATGCATACTCAGCATTCAGTAGCAGATTTGGCTTTGTAAAGAAAAAGAAAATAAATGGAAAGGCAAATAATAACCTATTTCTGTTTGGCTTGTTTTGTGTTATGTGTACATATGTGTTATTCATATACACAGCAAGAGCTATGTGACCTTGTGCAAGCTACTTAACCCCTCTGTCCACATAAGTGAACAGCAAATAGTGTGAGGGCCGTCTGCTTGTGCTGTTAACCAATACATCTGAACAAAGATCACCTTGTTCAAAGATGATTCAAAGAATATATATCTCTATTTATAATAAAATACACAAAAACTAATCATGGAAGGGAGAAAAGAGCATATTTATGAAAATGATTGACTACAGAATCCAAAAGGGAAATGTTCTCACCAGTTTAGCATCCTTTTTCAAGAATGTAAGATGAGATGCAAAGTCAATAGGACGATTTGAAAGAGAGAGAGAGAGAGAGAGGAAGGAATGAAGCAAGGAAACTAAAATCTCAATAATGGAATTTAAGTAAAAACAGAAGCAGAAATAATACTTTGGGAAACCTTATCAGTAATATATTTTTTAAGATTTTATTTATTTATTTGACAGAGGGAGACAGAGAGAGAGAGGGAACACAAGCAGGAGGAGTGGGAGAGGGAGAAGCAGGCTTCCTGCGGAGCAGGGAGCCCGATGTGGGGCTCGATCCCAGGACCCCGGGATCATGACCTGAGCCGAAGGCAGACGCTTAACGACTGAGCCACCCAGGTGCCCCTTATTAGTAATACTGAAAGCAAATTTGAGTTGTACAGAATGTCAAAAAAGGATAAAGAGGGGCGCGCTTCTCCCTCTCCCACTTCCCCTGCTTGTGTTCCCTCTCTCACTCTGTCTCTCTTTGTACTCAGTGTTCTGGCCATACTGAAGTGTTTGCAGTTCAAAACAGATACTGCTTTTGCTTCCATTCCATTGCACATATTGTCCCATCTGTCTGGTTAAGAGGGGTGGACCTTTTTATCAGCATATATGTGGTTTCAGTCCAGGAAGGTTTTTTTATATTCTACCTTCAAGAATTGTTTCTGCTTTATCCATTCATCTGTTGAAGGGCATCTGGGGTCCTTCCACAGTTTGGCTATTGTGAACATTGCAGCTATGAACATCGGGGTGCATATGGCCCTTCTTTTTGCCACATCTGCATCTTTGGGGTTAATATCCAGGAGTGCAATTGCTGGGTCATAGGGTAGCTCTATTTTCAACTTTTTGAGGAAACTCCATACTGTTTTCCAAAGTGGCTGCACCAGCTTGCATTCCCACCCACAGCTTCTCTAGAAGGCTAGAGTGGTGAAGTATGAACCAGATAATGAAAGGCCTTACACGGCCCCCCGCCATCCCCCCGACGCCCTGCCAGTCCAGAACGGCCTCTGGGAGCAGTGTGGGCCCATGGCTCTGATCACAGCCTTCTCGCAGGGGGCCTGCGGACCCCAAGTACAAGTATGAGGACAAGGACGGGAAACAACCCATGGGCCGCTTCTTTGGGAATAACTGGGCTGAGATCTACAGCAACAGCTCTGGAAGGAGCACCACTTCGAGGCCATTGCCCTGGTGGAGAAGGCCCTGCGGGCCGCATACGGTGGCAGCGCCCCCACCTGAGCCTGGCCTCCCTCCGGTGGACGTACCACCCCTCGCAGCTCCAGGGCGCCCATGGGGACGCAGTCATCCCGGGCATGGCCAGCGTGGGGTAGCTGGCACAGAACTTGGCAGCAACCGAGGAAGGGCCCCTGAAGCTGGCCATGGTGCAGGGCTTTGACTGAGCCTGGCAGCTGGTTGCCCATGAATGTCCCAACTACTTCAGCTAGGGCCAGTCCCGGCTCCAGCTACCAAAGGTTTTTCTCTTTTCGGTCACCTCTTCTATTCTCTCATCCTGACCAGTCTGTCTTAAGTTGATTTAACATGGTCTTTTTTGATTGTCAAAAAAGAAGAAGAAGGAGGAGGAGGGGAAGGGGAAGAAGAAGAAGAAGGAGAAAGAAAGGCCTTATGTACTGTGCTGAGAACTTTTCTCTGTGAAGCAGGAAACAATATCATGTGTGAAGAGAGGAAAATGATCATTCTATGGGGCTTAAAGAGAGTAGTAAGGGTTAATAACAGCAATTACTGGCAACGAGAGCGGTCACATAAAAGAGGCACCAAGGTTCTAGCGGGCGTCCATACATTTGTAGTGACATCATTCTGTTATAGTTGTGTGACTTTTTCTTCCCAAGTGGTACTTGAAAACACAGATGTAGGAATGGAAAATGCAGACAACCGGAGTGTTTAAAAGGTGGTGGTTTGATGTTACCATGTTGTCAAAGGGCAATTCCAGGGGCTCTGCTTACAAGAGTTGTTGAAGTCAAAGGCCATGGACTTAAATCAGGTGGAAGGTTCAGGGGATGTGAGAGCTCTCTGGTCTTTGAAGACCAAGTTCATTGGGAACAAGGGAGAGAGAGGACGGCAAGGATGAGGACTGTGAGTCCAAATAAGTAGGATTTGAAATAAATCTCTAAAGTTTTAGAGATGGAGCTGTATGAAGTGATGAATGTCTAGACTTGTTAGAATCTGTGCCTGGGAATGGGTGGATAGAGTAGAGTAGAGGTAAATTCGTCTGGCTTGGGGAAGTTAAGGAAGCGTGGCTCAATCACGGGTGCTGGACTCATTGGGATGATGGCTGTAATTCAGTTTAGATGGAGAGGAAAATTCTAATGCAATCAGCTGGCAGTGACAAGGGAGGGTAAAAGGTGATACTACTAGATGAGGTGGACTCTGAAAGAGAAATCTTGCAGGGAGTAAAAAGTATATCAAAGTGTCTAGTGAGAAAGCTCCAAGAGTGAGGATATACTACCTTTGGGGCTGGTGGATGGAGTGGGGGAAGAGAGAAATCAAGAGAGCAGACAAAAGTGAGTATTTTGAATTGGATGGTGGGGAGATGTTGGCACTGTTAACCTATTTGGGAGGTCCAGAGCGGAGGTTTCGTTTTCTGGGTAGAAACTTAATTTGTGGAAGGCCCATGGGACCAAGCTCCTGTCTTTGGCTGAGGGATGAGCTCCAACATCCAGGATCCCAGGATCGCAGGACCTGGAACGCCTCGTGCATTGCTTCTTTCCCAGGGGACTGGCCGCAGACAGCCCATGCGCCCTGGACAGAGCGGCAGAGGTGGGAACGGCCGGCAGAGGGCGCAGGCGCTCTGGCCGGAGCAGTCCAGGCGGGGCACCCTCCCTGCGAAGGAGTTGAGAGCAGGGGTCGGTGGGGGAGCCGGCCAGCGCGAGGCCGCGGACAGTGGGCGGGACCAGAGCGGGGGCGGGGCGAGGCGGTTCCGGAAGGAAGTGGTTCCGGGTCCCGTGGCCCGGCGGTGGTAGCCGCGGTACCTCTGCTGTGGGAGGCGGTGGCCGCGTGAGGGGCGAGGCCCAAGGGGCTGGCGGCGGCCGGGCTGGCGGCGGCGGCAGGGACTTCCCGGCCGGGTGAGCGGCCCCGGGGGGCAGGCGGGGCGAGGAGGCTCCGGCCCGCAGGGAGGGCGTGTCCGTCGCCCGGGAGGGGCGGTCTTGGGGCGGCGGGTGCCACGACGGGTGGGGCGGTGGGGAGGATGCGCAAGCTGGTCTCGGGCTCCCGGGGGACCTCGCCCCTCCCACCGCTTCAGGCCACTGGCGCGGCGACCCGGGCACCTGCTGCCGTGGCTCTGATCCTTCCCCCGTCGTCCGGCAGTCTGCGGCCCCGGCGGTTCGGAGCGACTGTCATGGGGACAGAGGGTTGGTGTTCAGGGACCGTTCCCTTGTCCCTGGGGCGAACCCGGACGCGTAGCCTGCGGGACCCGAGCCGAGGAGACCCTTGCTTTGTCTTCCGGAGGCTCTCCGGCCACGCAGCGGCATCTTCTTCTGGTAACGTCCAGAATGAGTCGTGAAGGATGCTCTTTATCCTGCGTTGCAAAGTAAAACTTGTGTTTTCAGAAACGTATCTTGAAAATTGGCTCATCTTGTGCTTTTCTAGGATGTATTAAGAAGCTGGGCCGGTCACTGTCAGGATTGTCCTGTCGGTAAGTCAGGAGGAAAAGAAATGGGAGAGAAACTTATTCTCCCAAATATTTTCCTGCCAAGGTGCTTTTTGAGCTGTCTCCTATGTGATTGCTTTTCTTTTCTGGAACAAAGTAAAAACTACAGGTAGAAATCAGGAAGGTCTGTCTGACTTCTGGCCCAGCAACCGTTTTAGCATTTTTCTGAATGAGAACTGGGATGAATGAGACTGGAATTTGGAAAGGAAAGATTTTGGTGGAGATTCATAATGAGAGCTTTATTTTTCAATGGTATTTTAATTGTTATGATATGCTAATGTTTATTAAATGTTATTTTTTTAACGGTACTTTTAAAATGGCTACTAAAATGATCTTTTGAAAGCCCCTGCTGTTGTTTCACAGCCCTCCCCCTTTAAAGGTCTTATTAGAAATATTTTTATATAGAAACATTTGGTAACACATTTATTTACAAAATTTCTAACATATGCAAAACCATGATGAAGAAGATACACTGTTTCACCAATCCAAGTAACCATTATGAATATGGTTACTGGGTATACATTTCCATTCTCTTTCTGTGCAGAGATGAATGTATGGATTTTTCTAAAGTGGATTCTCTTTTGTAACCATTTTTTCCCCTGACTTCATAGCATGCCATTGCATGGCTCTCATAATTTATTTAATTGGTTATTCCATTTTTCATTACTTAAATACATTGTTGAAAAAATGTAAAATCTGCACACCCATCATTACTTCTTAGTGTACATTCCTAGATGATAGAATTGTTGGGTTTGTTTTTTTTAAAATGTAAATTGCTCAGTTTCCCTCTGGAAAGAATGTGCTATTTTGCACTCCCACCAACAATCTGTGAGTGTCTTTTTCTACACCCTAGCAAAAGGCAGCATTTAAAGGATTTCTACAGGATCACTTTTGGGCCATTTCTGTTCTTCTCTCCAACCAGGTACCATTATCATTCTCTAGCTATCACTTTTTTTAATTTGTTGATAGCAATTCAGTTTCTCATCTTTTATTCCACTTTTACCAGTTTAGTAAAGAAGTGTTATCCATGTGAGGCAAAGGCATCATAGAATGAACAGGAGATTTGAACTCAGGACTTCCTTGAATTCCAGTATCTCTGATTCCCTGCACAAATCACTTACCTTTTCTAAGGGACAATTTCCTCAACTCTAAACTAGATATTATAGTGCACTTGCCTTACCTTTTTTTATAGGGTGGTTATTTAAGGGTCAAATAGGACATTTATGGAAGGTATATTTAAACATACTTTGTCCTGTTGCCAGTTATTGCCATATTGTAAAAATTTCAGAGCACAAAAGCATCTTGATTTTTTTAAAGTAAATTTCTGAATTCAAAAAAGCCATTCTGTGATACCCTTTGCCCCATACTCTTTCACTTCTTAAATTTGAAGTTTTTTTAAAATTCTGTCCTAGATTATATTCAGAATGCTATCAGAGTTATGAAATTAGGTGAATGAATGAATCTGCACAAATACTGAAGGAGCAAATATTTAAAGGCATTATACGTAAAGCTGAGGGGGACAAATGTAAAGCTAAATAAAACACAATCCTTGAGATCATGATAAATAAAACATAGTCTTTGTACCCTACAGCTACAGAATGTTCAGGCAGCTAGAGGGCAGAAAAGCTGCTTTCCAAATTTAGACGTGATGCAGGATGTCAACTATTCTGAAGTATACCCTCAAGTCCAATTCTGCTGACCGAGCATCTGCAGAGATGACCAGGCAGTCTCTTCAGGGTCATCTTTCTCAAGGTAGGAATTGCGAGTTGGGGAAGTGTTAGTATTTGAGTCTGAGAATTTGGATTCTGGTTTCAGGTCCTTCACCTGGGGCAGATTGGTTAGCCTTTTTGAGGCTTGTTTTTTTCACCTATAAAATGGAGGTTAATTCCAGCTTCCTCAGAGTTTGTTGTGAGGATTAAATGAGATATTATTTGCCAGACACTCAGTGAACCCGGAAGTACTACACTCCCGTGGTCCTTCTTATCCACTGAAAACTTAGCATCTTGAGGAAAGAAACTAGGTCTATTGCAACTTTGTGTGCTTCCCCACTACTAGTCATTGGTACTTAGTAATGTTTTCTAAATTAACATAAAATATGACTGCTGATAAAAATTTAGTGTGGACCGTTGAAGAAGGAAATATGTAAATGTGGGATAGTGAGAGAAATTGACTACATTATTTGGAGTTTTATTAAGGAATCAAAGGAAACTGAACTAATTGGACACAGGTTCATCTCTACTATGACTGTCATTCTATATTATATCCCCAGGGCCAGGCACATAGTCCCTCCTTATCAACAATAAACCTACTCCCTAGACCCCTGTCACCCAGCCACAACCCAGTTTCTTCCTCCTTTTCCAGTCAGCCTGTTAGAAGAAGTTGGGTTTTTTTTTTGTTGTGTGTGTGTGTGTGTGTGTGTGTGTGTGTGTGTGTGTGTGTTTTAAGATTTTTTTTTTAAATCTCTGCACCCAACATTGCACTTGGCAACCCTGAAATCAAGAGTTGCATGGTGCACCGACTGAGTCGGGTGTCCCAAGAAGGAGTCATTAATAATTGGCTGCCTTAGGCTCCTTATCTTCCACTTAGTCCTGAAGCCTTTTTTATTCCTTTTATTGGACCTCTATGCAGCTTTTGTCATGAAAGTCTCCTTTCTTGAAGTATTCTTTAATTTATGAGATTCCATGCTCTAGGCGTCCCTCCTTCCTCAGAGGATGTTCTTTCTCTGTCCCCTTGGCTGGTTCATCTTCCTTGAAAGGTTGATGTTCCTATAGGCTTGATCCTTCTCATGATACACCAGGTCTGGAATGATTTATAGAGCACTGAGGCTGTCTGGTGTTTGAAGGTTTGGTAGAGTTCTCCTGTGAAACCATCTGGGCCTGCTGGTTTTTCAGGGATATTTCCTTAATAACTTTATTTCTTCTATGAAAATTGGTCTGTTTAAGCTTTCTTTTCTCTTTTTTCTTTTTTTTAGCTGTAAAAACTAGGGTTTATTCATTTATTTATTTTTTGTTTCGGGTATAGAATTTCGTGATTTATCACTTACATGTGGTGCTCATCACAACAAGTGCCCTCAATACCCATCACCCATCTAGACCATCCTCCACCCACCTCCCTCCATCAACCCTCTGTTCTCTATCGTTAAGAGGCTCTTATGGTTTCCTTCCCTCTCTCTCCTTTTTTCTTGCTTCCCATATGTTCATCTGTTTTGTTTCCTAAGTTCCAGATATGAGTGAAATCATATGGTATTTGTCTTTCTCTGATTGACTTATTTTGCTTAGCTGTTTAAGCTTTATAACTATAATGGGGTCAGTTTTGGTAGTTTGTATTTTTCTAGCAAATTATCTCTATTGTCTGGCTTTTCCCAAATTCATTAGGTGGAGAGCTACACAGTAATCTCTCATGATTTAAAAAATTTTCTTCTATTTCAGTGGTTGCTTTCTCCCTCACTCTCTCTTATTTTTGTATATTTGTGTTTTCCCCTTTTTCTTAATCACATTTTATAGTGGTTTATCTATTTTAATTTTTTTCAAAAACTACAGAATTTTATTTTTATTTTTTATTTTTTTTAAAGATTTTATTTATTTATTTGAGAAAGAGAGAATGAGAGACAGAGAGCATGAGAGGGAAGAGGGTCAGAGGGAGAAGCAGACTCCCTGCTGAGCAGGGAGCCCGATGTGGGACTCGATCCAGGGACTCCAGGATCATGACCTGAGCCGAAGGCAGTCGCTTAACCAACTGAGCCACCCAGGCGCCCCTACAGAATTTTATATTATTACTCAGATCTAGTTTTCTGTTCTCTGTCTCATTCACTTCCTGTTTTTTTTAAATTTTTTTATTGTTAATGTATGTTAATCACCATACATTACATCATTAGTTTTTGAACACTTCCTCTGTTTTTATCTTTATTTCCTTCCTTGTGCTTTCTTTTGGTTTACCTTGTTATTTTTTTTAACCTTGGAAATGAATTTATATTACTTCATTTTTATTGATAAATATGTTTAGAGCAACAAATTTTCCTTTGATCACTGCTTTAAATGTATCCCATGGAATGTGATATGTAGTGTTCTCGTTGTCATTATTTCTTCAAAAATCTATAATTTCAGTTATAAGATACTCATTTAATAGGAGGTTTTTAAATTTCTAGGTGGAAGAGCTTTTATTTTTATTAGTAAATTCTAGTTTTATTACATTATGATCAGAGGATATTTGTAATACTTCTATTTCATGGCACTCCTGATGTTTTCTTTGTGACGTAATATGTGAGTACTTTTGGTGACTGTGGCTTGGGCATGAGATAAGAATGTATATTCTCTAGTATCAGAGTGTAGAGTTTGATAAATATCCTTAAGATTTACTCTTGATTATGCTGTTTAGATCTTCTATCTCCTTATTTCTCGACTACTGAATTGTCTAATATACCACTCAGAGTGCATAAAGTCTCCTGTTATTAATGTGTTTCTGTGTCCCTTGCATCTCAAGTAGTTTTTGTTTCATAAAGGTGGTTGCTGTGTTATATTCATGTGAATATGTGTATTTTAATGTGTTCTGTCTAAATCATGGATTGTGACTTTCAGCATTAACAAGTGTCTCTCTCGCTCTCTCTTTTTTTTTTTGTGTGTGGTCATGATGAATGCTTTAGGACTTGAATTCTTTGCCTGATCCCAGAAATGCCACCCTCCTCCCTTTTTGTTACCAATTGCCCGGTATACTTTGGCCATCCTTTCATTTTTAATGTTTCAACATCACTTTGTTTTAGATGTGTCTTGTACAACTCCTTGAGTTTTGTTTTGCAAGCCAGATTGAAACTTTTTATCTTAATAGGTGAGTTAAGCCCATTCACATTTACTGTTAGGACTAATATATTTGACCTCAACTCTATCATAATATTTTGTTATATTTGCTGTTTCTTTGGCTGTGAGGTGTATTTTTTGCTCTTTTATTTAAAAAATTGGGGGGGTGGTATTTAGGAAAGCTTGTATTTTTGTTCTTATGGTTGACCTTTGTCCTTATACCTTTATAAATGCCCTTACTCCCCTGGTTGTTTATTTAAACTTTTGTGTGTGTGAAAAAAAATACATTGTATTCATGAAATCATAGTAGGTTAATGATAGGCAGCAGTGAGATTCTTTATCCTCTTCTAGGTCCTTCTATTGAAAAATTGATGGTAACACCTAGCCCCTGTAGCCAAGAGCATTAATCCATGTTCTGGTCTCCTCAGGTCTGGCTTCCTCTGATTTGCTGGTCACGCTCATGTTCTGTGGGCTCTAACTCTGTCCAGTTTTGTGCTGAGATTGTGGCTTCTTTGTTGCAAAGGCTTTCCTGGGGAATTCTTTGCATTTGTAACTGCTGGGTTCCTATTTAGTACGAAATTTTTGTCAGTTGATTTTTTTTCTTTTTGATAATGTCTTTACTGAGATATAATTAACATACCACACAATTCACCCATTGAAAAGTGTGCAACTCAGTGTTTTTTGGTATATGCAGAGTTGTGCAGCCATCACCATGGTCCAGTTTTAAAACATATTCATCATCCCCCAAAGAAACCCTGTGTCTATGCTCCCCAGTACCCCGCCGCCCCACCGCCCCACTGCCCCACCCAGGCAACCACAAGTCTGCTTTCTATTTCTGTGGATTTGTCTATTTGGAACCTTTCATATAAATAGAATCATACAATATGTGGTCTTTTGTAACTGGCTTCCTTCCCTTAGCATAACGATTTCAAGATTCATTCCTGTTGGACCATGTGTTAGTACTTCATTCCTTTTTATGGCCAAATAATGTTCATTTGTATGGGTATACCACATTTTGTTTATTCACTTATCTCTAAATGGGCAGTAGAATTGTTTCTACTTTTTAGCTATTATGACTAATGCTGCTATGAATATTTGTGTACAAGTTTTTGTGTGGACATTTTTATTTGGTTATATATGTAGGAGTAGAATTGCTGGGTCATATGGTAACTCCGTTTAATTTTTTTAAAGATTTATTTATTTAGTTTTTGAGAGAGCGAGAGAGAGAGAGAGCGAGCATGAGTGGGAGGGGCACAGGCAGAGGGAGAGAGAATCCCAAGCAGACTCCACACTGAGCGCAGAGTCTTACACGGGGCTTGATCTCATGACCCTGAGTTCACGACCTGAGCCAAAACCAAGAGTTGGACGCCCCCCCCCGACTGTGTCCCCCAGGTGCCCCTGTTTAATTCTTTTTTAAGATTTATTTTTAGATTTTATTTATTTATTTGAGAGAGAGTGGGAGGCAGGGAGGGAGAGAGCAAGAGAGCACGAGTGGAGGGAAGAGCAGAGGGAAAGGGACAAGCCGACTCCGTGCTGAGAGCAGAGCCCAACACAGGGATCTATCCCACCACCCTGAGATCATGACCTGAGCTAAAACCAAGAGTTGGATGCTCAACCGACTGGGCCACCCAGGCGCCCCTCTGTGTTTAATTTTGTAAGGAACTGCCAGACTGTTTTCCCAAGCTGCCACATCATTTTACATTCCCCCTAGCAATGTATGAGGCTTCCCTTATCTCTCCATCCTTTCCGCACTTGTTACAGCTATCTAGTTGGTGTGAAGTGGTATCTCATGATTTTGATTTGCATCTCCCTAATGATTGATGATGTTGAACATCTTTTTATGTGTTTATTGGGCATCTGTATACCTTCTCTGGAGAAATGTTGATTCAGCTCCGTTGCCCATTTCTTAATTGGGTTGTCTTTTATTATTGAATTGTAAGAGGGTTTTTTTTTTTTGTATAT